GACATCAGCTGATTTATTGTAACGTAATTGTCAATGCACATACAATATTGATTGGTTTTTAAAATACCAGATATATAAAGGGTTTTTGTTAATAATTTTGCTCTGAATAGACGGAATGGATATAGAAGAAGGTTCTGCTGCTATACAATAATATCGCCAATAGGTAATAATATGTGATGCGGAAAAAACATACTTTTTATGCTGTGTGTGGTATTATTTATGGTATTTGAGTTTAATATTATAACAATACTATGCAAGTAGATGTATACAGAAGAAAATATATGGTTTACAATGTAATTCAGGCATAGATTTAAATCAATACAGGTTCGTCTAAGGTCAGTATCTAGTAGAACATAATTGGTGCCTATTTATACCATCAAAGTTCCCCGGTAAAAACAAGTTGTGTGGTAAATAAATATTTATTGGTAGGTATCTAAAATCCAGTCATACCGACTATGTCGACACAGCCACAGTTAAATGTGAAACTATTCAATATCCGGTATATATATTATTCGTTTTGGTAATACCGTGGCAAAAGAATTGTGAATAACCAAAGCACCTGTTAAAATGTTCGCTGTAATAAATTATAATTATAGAAAATACTGTCTATAACCCTAAAGATAATTATTATCTTTGAATGGAATGACAGGATTATTAATTAATTTAGGTATTATTTGTCGGTAAACAATGTCAATATTGTGGCAACGCTGTAAACAACAAATTATTTCTCTTCTATTCCGCCAAGGTCATAGAAATTGTGCAGTTACAATCCAAAAATACACGTTTTTTTCCATCGATCACCAGTGACAGCCTTTCAAAGCGTTGAAAACTCGTAGGAATAAATAATCCTATTATAGTATTAATATTTCACAATATTCTAGCAAATGGCAAGCAAATCAATAATAGTGGACATAGAATGTCAACTGTATTAACGTGCGTTACAACGGTCGTTAACGTGCTTAGTGACATTGCAGAATATTTTTCCCATAAAATACCAATACGATATAGAAGTTCTACCTTCCCTATTTCAGCAGTATGGTCAATATAACCTGTGTCTATCTACAGAATTGAAGGGCAAGATATAGATCTGTTGGAAATAGTACCGAGTACAAAGTAATGAGTAGGTACAGCTGTTATATTACTTCTTGAATGTGGCTGTAGTTGCATTGGTTAGTTGGATAGTAATTGTAGTTACACTTAGTTATTGTTAATTTGTAAGGATGTAAAACTATTTTGTAGTTACTTTTACATCGTTAGAACAAGTAGATAGTTATTACTGAACTTGAACTGAACTACCAATGTATTCTATAACGCCTGCGTGCTGTTGAAATCTGCCATCATGTTCAAAACAACGCTTACCATTTTCTATCCGATTAGCGGACATTATTGTCTACCTTCCACTCTTGTATTCCGGTTTATACAGTGAAAATATAGGGTACAAAGGCGTCATGCCTTAGTTCTAATCTCTAAAAGTAAGGTCTTCATACGAATTAGCTACTATGAGTATAACATCGTATGTGAATCATACACTTCAAATCAAATACTTGTACATTTGATGAAATATTTTCATGAGTTATACCTATTGTATAGGTGTGTTGATTTAAGTGTTTTCTATGTATATTATGTACATATTTACAAACAATGTATTTAAGTATTTCTATTAAAATTGTTTGTACTCATAGTGTCTACAAACTCTGCTAAGTGTGTGACTACTACTACGTACGTACGTACTAAACTTTATCCTTAAGTAATAGGTTGTTAGATCTGGACATTTTATGTATAAATTGTATTTGGTTCAGTATTGTGGAAAACCTTGACCTGCGTCAATATTACATAAACACCGCCTACAAACTGAATTAATCCAAGAGTTTTATCTCTTACCACGGATTCAATGTGTGGGATAACATATGGGTATATTTGCCGACTATGCATATTATGGATCGAAATATATAGCCTGTTTTATTCTGATTTTCGAGTTTGGAAGTTCCATTAATATCCAAGCAGTAGTTTATCACTAAGAAAAACTACCTTGACTGACTTAGACCCGTAATTCTAAGACAGAAGTTCTAATTTGGCTAACACTGGCTGACATAACCTTTGTTCAATTTCTTGAAGAAAGATTCTTCCCTTTGCGACTATTCCTGTATTCTATGCAGTGTTTTTCTTTTTTTAATATTTAATTGTTTACTCTTGTATGAGAAAGTACAAAGTGATGAAATAATATTTCAATCTTAAGATTTTCTATTTTGGATTAGTGGCCTCCTTATATGCTTTTATATAAGCCACATTGCACAACGAGTACAAGGGCGTACAGTGCTTATTTAAGCACTAAATTGTATTGAAAACGCCACATAAAACGCGCTGCACATGCAACCCGTCAATTGAAAAGCTGTGTGAAATTTGTTTATTTTACTAGGATGATAAATAGTGCTAGAGCGCAAATCGCATGCATTCGTTGTTTAACTATACATAGTTCTTGGATAGGTAACTCTAATCATTAAATGTAACAGAAATTGTAATAAAACACACAGAATAATTTTGAAATATTTAATTAATTTATTTATATACCTAACTTTAATGCACACAGTATAAAAAGTAAAAGTACGTTTGGCGGACTTAACACGATGCGGTATAAAACAATAAGACATGTTTTACGTATAACTGTAACTATAATATTTTTATAACTATCATTCTCATATGATAGTATTTATTATATCGACATATATTTTTATCGATGTTAAAAAAAGATTGGTATCTTTTTTTATATGTTGTGTATAATCACGACGTTCGTTAGGTACAGAATACCATATAAATCGTATACATTTAACAACGATTGATTATTACATTCTATTTGACATTCTTCTTTTAATAAGTAATCGACTTATTTAATTAAAGAAATTTTTAATATGTATGGAACCTATTCGAATTTGTATACAGTTTTTAGATAACTACTGGTACCGTCGTACTCCATTGAAAATAAATCACTGACTTATTATTAAAATAATATTTATAGGTACACACTACATAATACATATACCTATTATTACACGTGCACATTTATATACGAGAGTTGGCACACGTTCTATTTAAATGCATCGAACGTGGGCAATGCATAATTTTATGTCACTCTAATGCTCGTGACACAAATTGTACCTGCTATTGGATTAAATTTATTCTGCAGTGAACCGTAAGGTATTTATACATATTTTAAATTATATTCAAGTTTGTACACCCTATATTAGATAGACCGTGTTTCCCAAACATCCAAGAACCATGCCCCACCTTAGCTTCTAAAATTGTTTTACAGCAATAACATGAATCTTTAAAAAAGTACCCTTCTTAAAAACCCCATGCGGTTGTTTCTATAGAAAACATCACCTGTGTCATTGGAATTGCAAACAAGCTGACAGCCGACTTGATGGTGAGTTGGAACCTTCACCTATATACATGGACAGAACAATGAAGATCTCGTTATCCTGTAATTTCCTGCCTTATCTCACGTCTTCGAAACACAGGTTACAAAATACCTAAACAGTATAGGGGAAACTAAGGAACATACACAGAGGACTTTTTTACGAAATCTATCTGAATAATAACCTAAATTACACAAGTTATATTATAACATTATAGCGGTGTACCACAATGTTACTGTCTCTTATGTTAAATACTATTATTCAGGTATACAACGGTCGATGTGTTGGTCGATATTCTATAAGATATATGAAATACAGCATTTTTCTTTTTTCATTCTTCTTCCTTCGTGTTGATGTAGGTATTCATAAACTGGCTGGTTAACTGTGGTAGACGGTGGAAACCCGGGCGCACGCAGAGGCAGTGGCGTTAGTGGCTGTTGTATTTAAAAAAACAACCAGCTAACCACACTGCCAACGCGGTCTACCCAATTGTCTTCTTTCTTCTTCGTCTTCAACATTTCTGCATATTCTTTCTTGATATACTACATCTATACTAAATGTGATCGTCATCTTTTTTTAAGATTATAATTTAGCGACGTTGGCTGTACTCATGTTACAATCAATACACATGTTAAATTTCATTAAAATTTGTTCAACAATTTAGTCGTGAAAAGGCAAGAAACAGTCAGACAGATAGAGAGACGGACACAATTCAGCATTTATAATATTAGTAAATACCAATAAGGGATTTTTTATTTCTAGTGTGGTTTTATATACTCATTCGGTCTTCTAATTCATTTAAAAGAAACTGGAACCTGTTAGAGCTCCATTGCTAATACTAATTTGAGTTAATGATTTGTCTGTATGATTATTTTACTGAGACAAATAGGAAAATATATACTTATATTAAAAAAAAAACTTATCAATTGTCTATACATGCGTTAATTATATTTATTTCTAACATGCAATGTGATTGATTATAGTTTATGTGGAAGATCATTTTTTTGTGGATGATAATGGCACAGTGCACCCGCCTGCGCTAACGGTTTACGCTGGCGGGGCACCAGTGAAGGATGATAAGATAAGCATGAGGTCAGGATAGTTAGCCGATAATGAGAAATTCAAGAAGAACTTATCATGATGGTTTCCAGGTGGAAATGTAGAAGATCATTGATTTCGAGACACTTCTCATAAGAGTTAAATATTGACACGACAGCTATGTCTTATACATAGATAACTTACGGGCATGCTGTGATACTGCCTAATTGTTTAAATTGAAGAGTGCCACACCTGGCAGCGCACGTATTATATATGACAGACAGCCATATAAGTAAACGGTCGTAAAAGAACAATCAGTAGAAGTACCTCTGTAGATTGCTATAAAACTTTAAATATTTGAAGCGTTTAAAGACTTGCACGCATTAAAATTAAAACAGAGACAGTATAGTCGTGGGCATAGTTTGTCCTAAAATCAGCCTTGATTTGCCACACATCAGGCCATTAGAAGCGACCCAGGCGGTATCTGCTGCATATCATATTTCTTCGATTTTATACGTGTATAGGTTAATTGAATTCAATAAAAGTCATGTCGCATATGTTTTATTATTTAAATATACTTAGAATCTTTATTCTTCATAACATTGACTTGGTTACTCCACATCAAAAATCCATGGCTACCTGAAAGTAAAAAATACACAGTTAAGTATTTCGAGTATTTTTTTTTAAATTAATAGTTACGGAATAGTGTACACGAATGCTTTACACTACAGATATATAAATCAGCCCAGATAGTTCAGTGTCCAGTTCATTAGGAATTTATCACGATAGTACCTAAGTTGGTCTGTGTGGTGGTTAAACTGATAGCTAGTGGACGCTACACCGTAGTTATATAGAGAAATGTATATATATATAATAAACAGTAGAGGTCGACTTTCTGTGAAACAAGTGAAATAGGACATTTAGATTCTTTTCAAATTTATTGTTATAGGATAAAATATACGACTATACTATTCTATATAAACTAACTACTATATTCTCTATTTCTATATAAAAAGTAATTAGGCAAAGAAATAATGACAGTAAGAATACTGAACAATGTACCTACTATGTATACCAAGTTGCTTTGCCTGATAATAGATATAGGCTAATAATACCTTTTTGAATACGGGAAGTGATCTGTGCACACCAGTTGCACCTACTCAATAGCTAATAGTTTCTCACAGTATACTGTTTTAAATAGGTACCTTTTTTAAAATATACATTCCATCAATATCAAGTTATGGAAGTTCCAATTGGAGATATTTAAAATGCCTTTTTTCACGTTCATTAATAATATACTGATTAATATAGCACAAATACTACCTACAGAATTTTTTACCATTACTGATGGGCACTTTCTTGGAAGGTCTAAGTTTTTAGAACTATCCATTAACATAGAATACATCGGGTTCTGTACATTTGAATTTGCGGAATTTATTTGATGTAAAGTACCTAGGTAACAATTCTAGCCAACCGCTATAGTAATAACTTACATTGTTACAATGACAAATGACGCCATCAGTCGTAAATGACATATTACGTAATACATATAATAAAAAAAGTTCGATTTTAACATGCACCATTGAATTGAAATACATAAGAAATACTACTAATTTAGAATTATTATCTGTTTGTCTATGCGTTTGTACCTACGCGCTAATCTCAGAAAAGTTATAACCGATTTGTATATAATACTTAAGTGATAAGCCTACATTAAACATTTTGAATTTGTTTTATTCAAATCACAAATAAAAAAGCGGATTCGAAGCCTAATCCAAGCTATTAAATTATGTATATATGTACCTATAGTCAAAGAGTAGAGTCCCTGAGTAGTTAGGCATGTAGGTTATAAGCGTTTTTTTACACTTTAGTGAAATTTATTTGTCTTAATTAATATATTTTTATGGAGACATCCGGTGCCCATCTGGTGGTAAGTGGTAATACCCATGCATGATGAAGCTGACGATAACATTACGTCATCATGTGGCGCCCGTAGTATCTCTTATGTGTCGCCATTGCTATCCATGTAAATCTTACATAATATCTGAAATAACGTTGATTTAGAGAAAACATTTAGACCAAGTAACGAAATTCTACAAAACTACTGACATACAATCCTGGCCTTAGGGCTAATAAAAAAATCTCGAAATCATAGCGTAACAAACAAATAGACCATTGTTTAAAAAAAAAACACCGTCTGACAGTTGGGTCTAAATTAGCTTGGTTTGTGTTCCAAGTCATTATTTCCTAAAATCACAGAATATCTTAGATTGAAGAAAATAATCAAGTACATGACGACATGAAGTTAGTAATGGTTATTCCTGAATATAGGCGATGATTACCATTTACCATCAAGTGGGCCAACACCTTGGTGGCTATTGTAATTATATATAAAAAAAATACTTCCTATTTAGTGACAATAATAGAGAATAATTGTACAACCATATACAATTTTTTATTATACAGTAAATGAACGTGGGAGGTCTTCAATTATGGAAACGACTATGAAAATGCAACTCGCGTGTAACTATTGTTGTTATGAACTTCCATATATACAGAAGTACCATGTTTTGCGTTGCATTTGTTTATAACGAGTAGATTCTGCCATTTCCGCATTCTCAAGACATACCTCATTTGATATAACAAAAGGGTATTTCTACGATTTGTTTATCTAGTGCAGTATTCGCCAGCCCTTTCAGCCACTAACTATTAGGAAATCAAGCATATTCTCGAAGCACAGTCTATCATTTATCATTGCTAAATGTTCACAGAGATAGAATAATAGAATCGCAGACATACGTATATGTAAGCCATTATCCGTTCTTTCCCTTAAATTCATGGACTGCCAGGTGTATGCTCTAGTCATTATGTACTTTTAAGAATAGATTAAGCTGAGCAATTTTACGGATATATATCAGCTGCTGTATTCTACTTTTGGATAAAATATCACAAATTACTATTGCTTCTTGATTGTCGGAATGCATGGCAGTCCTTCACGCATTTATCTCGAAACTGTTTTGCCTTCCGTGGACACTGTGCAATCCTTATAGTGATACTTTGAATTTACAGGATATTTAAAAAGGAAGGATATTCCTTCCGCCAAGGTCAGCAACAAAACTGAAATTGTAGATGCTCATAGTCGGATGAAATCACTCAACCAACCATAATTTCGTTTAAGTTTATAAAGCAAGCAAAAATAAAAAAAAGTAAAGCAAGTGAGTCAAAACCTGCGAGTACAATGGGGACACCTATATTTCGTATTAGTTAATGAATGGCTGAAATGATCATTATACTCGTATAATAATTATAAGTAATAATAAGTTCAGTGAATGAATTATATATCTATTCACATTATAATTCTGTTAATTATCATCTGTAGCTTCTGACGGCCTGATGCAAACTGTGTACCTAATTATTATTGGTACAGTTTCCTCCTTCAAGTAGGTAATACAATTCATAGATTGATTATAGTATCTACTTACTAAAGTCTAAAGTTCTCACTCTATCAAAGTATGAGGCGTGTTATTGATTTGATTCATATTGACATCTTTGTTTATTTATAAATATATATAAAACATACATACTTTTACTACTTTTGTCCTATATAGGGTAGTCTGAGGCTATATATCAACTGTCAACTACGATATATTTTCATTATGTGTAGAGATTGAGATACGAAAAGTTAGTGTAATATGACAAAAATATGTAGCAAAAATTAACAGTGTATGTGTAAATTAACGAAATGTGAATTGATAATCTGATCAAAATTAATTAAAGTAATTACGAGACATATATAAAGTCGTGTCAGTTTAGTTATTATATTTTATATATATCTGAGCGTACCTGATCTTATAAAAAGAGTTAAAAAAATAATTTATTATAAGCATTCCTTATATCGTATTACTTCAATAATTAGAAAGGCTTCCACAGTTAATCATTGGTGAGCGACCCTGCTATGCTTAGCGTACGTACATACCGTATATGTACCGGTTTTGTATAAATCAAAATTAAATATATAATTTCAATTATCCTGGTTAGTTAGTGATCTTTATTAGTCTCTATATAAAATTGAGTGACAATAATTTCTTGGTTTTGTTTATTCCAGCAGGGAAAGCAGTTCCTATATCACAAATTTTAATGTCAAATAATAAAAGCATGTAGAAAATAGAGAGTAAATTAAATACGTAATAAATAAAATCGAGTATTTAATAACTGCAGCCTGAATCCTTTATTTGATTTTTTTAATAACATCGGAAATACACTTGTCATTTCTCTAAAACACTAGATAGAAGCATATATCAATCTCTTCCCAGAATTATATAGTTATCCATATATTAGTATCAATGTATTTTAAAAATGGTATAAATAATTTTTTTTTTTTACATTTGTACGAGCCACGCAATTAAGGCAATAGGTGAGGTATCATAAAGTATACCAATGAAAAATCTTAGTGTTGACATCAATAAAGTTAATGCCTAAGTTGTACCTATGTCATAAATAATTATTTTATATAAAAAATTGTGGTAAAACGCGAATTTATGCGCGTGTAGATAGATATATTTATTTATGGTAATCAAGCTATGCAATAGCAAATACAATACCATCTACTACATGATTAATTAAATTTACCATTATAAGTATTACATTTGTTTATACCGTTTATTTTAATACCTATGGCTCTGGATTCATAAATACAGTGTAGAAAGAAGAATAACATACTTAACAAGAATCTGTAATTTTTTGAGGAAACGGAAAGCATATGTTTGTCGCTATTGAATAATGAATTGATGATAACAAATACTATACGAAGTAAAACTAGTACTACTTTATTTTTGAACTATTTTTCCTCCTTTTTACTATATAAAGATTATTAATCTTTTAGCTGCTATCCGTGACATCGTCTGCATAAATCATCCATCCTCAACATCATCTTTAATAGTTATCCTCGTCATATGTATATCTTCACGTTAAATTTCATTAAAATCAGTCGTTTAGTCGTTTAAAGGAAACAAACAGTCAGACAGACATTCGATTTTATAATTTTAGTACACATTACCATAGATGCATGTACCTACCTAATGTTAAGCGGCTATAGCATCCTTTCTTTATAACCGCTTGTATTCATTAATTCGACTCGCACATTAATTTGGTTAATTAAGGGATACTGTTTGTTTGTATGTCGATTAATTAATAGCCCACTATACGTCATGAGCTTAACCTTATTATTATAGTTGCCAAGCATCCCTAGGTAGGTGGTTGAATATTATTTGGCAACAACAATGTAAAGTTTACTGAAGTGCTTTTATAGTGGTTTGCCAAATGACAATGTATTAATGGAACTATATCCATACAATAACAATAACTTCGTAGAATACCTATATACTATGTTTTCGTAAGCGTTTTAGAATTATTCAATTAACGCTTGTACTAAATTAATGAAAATGGAACATGGAATATATTTTTGTACCTACTCGTAATATTTGAATAAATTAGCAATGTGATTATAAAGAGTATGATGTAAATGAAGAAAGATATTTTTGACGACCTCCTTTGAGCCTGTAATCATGCTATACTAAGTTAACTTATGATTTCATGTGGCGATGAGTATATTCTTGCATTTTAGAATGAATGGTAATATG